TCGTCGCGCTGTGATGACGTCAAATGCGCGCTTTAGTCGAGCGCGATTTTGTCCTCCGCGATTTTGTGGTGGAACCATAATTTACAGCATTGTGCCAACTTTGGAACATATTCCAAGGAAACAGCAAAGTAATAGAATCATTGAGGTGAAGGGAACTTCTGGGTTATTTAGTCCAAATCTCTGGTGTGCAGAATCTACTTAGAACAGTTTTTTTACAAAACTAGGCAGTCTTAAGATGTGTGTGGACTGCACATTCCAGAATCCCAAGATAGCCAGTTGCCAAGTTTGAAAAAGACAGTGCTAGGCTAGACTATTTGACAGATGACTTATCCAGTCTATTTGAAAAGATTTCTCATCAGGTGGCAGCCTATATTCCATTGGCCAAGAAAGTCTTCTTTGGTATTTAGCCTAAACCTTTTTCCTTAATAGTTTTAATTCACTGGGTCTGGCCTTTCCTTGTGGGACAACAGCACACGTGTCTCATCTGCAAAGATAACCCAACATTTCCTCTGCTTTTTAGGTCACTGCAAATGGAAATGATTGCAGACTAAATCAGGTAAATATGCACGGGGGAGACCTTTGGCCAGTAAGCAGTGGGAGAAGGGTTTTTAAGCGAGGATTTAGAGTTCCATCTGTGAACAATTCGGAGACTCTCGCAAGGGGCTGATTATAAGCGATTTCATTCACTCTCAGGCCCCGGCAACTTACTAGTACTGAAATGGAGCCGAGGCAGCCAGGGCTTCGCGTCGGCCGTGCACTTCCGCCCACTCGCCGCTACTAAACACCTTCCGGCCATCGCGCTTGCTCTCCATAAGGTGGCACCGGTCCAATTACCCTAAGAAAAGAAGGCATGGCTCGGTATCAGAGGAAGACGGGCGGCGGGGACCAACATGTAACAGGCAAGCGAAAGATGCACCGCAGCGGAGCAGAAGCAGCCCGAGATGCTGGGGAAAGACCCCCCTGCAAAGCACGCGAAGATCGGGCTCCAGTTTCTCCTCCCGAGATCCTTGTGCGGCGGCTGCATGGAGGATTTCCCAAGATCTGGATGAGTAAAGGGGCGGGAGGCGGGTGGGGAAAGAGACACTCGAGCCTTTTTTAAGAGGGAGAGTAAAAGGAGAATCTGGGGAAGGCAGCAGTTATAGGTCCATTTTGCAAAAAAGCAGCCAAGACGGGGGAAGCGAGGGGATTGATAAAGGAATCTGGTCCTCGCTCCCTAAGCAAGCCATTATTAGACCCCGTGAGGTTTTTCGGCTTACTCTCGTGCAAAGAGCGCGCCGGGCTTAGAAAACAGGGAGAGAAGCTCCGCCGGGGCCCCAAGACTGCAGCCGCCCTGCCGAAGTAAAGCAATGCCCGAAGGGGTGAAGCGCAGGGCATTTTTCGGGTACTGCGCAGTAAGCGAGGGGGGTCGCACTTACGGAGGGTTTCAGTAACCTTCGGAGCACCCCCGCCGCGGCTGCCATTTTCAGCTTGAAGAGCAAACGAAGGGGGCGGATCGCGCTCCCGCTTTGGCTGCTGGAGGTCCCGGGGAGGAGCCGCGAAATCCCCATAACCCCAGGGGCGGGCTCTTGATAGGCCGGCAGAGCTGCGGGTTGGATGGGCCCAACCTTGCAGAACGTGGTTTTTTTTCTCAGGGTAAGGAAGGGGTCGCCGTTAAAGTTTGTTGTTCGGCCCGATTCTCGAGTTGGCACTGAACTTTCAGCTGGGTCTATCGGGAAAACGAAAGGCATCTGTTGATACAATGCACTGCACGTAGAATCAGCTGAGTTTAGGATCACAGGATGCCCCCAGAACTATAAAGTATAGCTATATATTATAAAACGTCTGTAATTAATATGTGTGTATGTATATGTATTTACATGTATGTACATACATACATATATAAAAAGTGACAATAAAGGCTAACTTTTCAATCAGAATAGAGCTGGAAGAGACCTTAGAGGTCTTCTAGTCGAGCCCCCTGCTCAAGTGGGAGATCCTATACCATTTCAGACAAGTGGTTGTCCAGTCTTTTCTTAAAAACCGCCAGTGATGAGAACTTGAAGACAAGTTACACTTACTTAAATCTTATCTAACCATAATTTAATTTAACGTGTAAGTCTTAGCTAATAGTTCATTTTTTGGGTACAAATCCCCATTAAATAATTATATTAAATAATTGTTGGACAGAATAAGTTACCTTTGTTCTACAATGGCATGCCTGGGATCTCAATAAGCCTGTCATTGTTGTGTGTCCCTTGATAAATAAAACAAAAAAAAACCTATATTGTGCATTCCTAAGTAGCCTATTCAAAAGCAATCCCCACTGATCTTTGTGGCCCATACAGCTTGCAATATGTGGCTGCAGATTAACATCTTTTCCTACTAGTCAGTTTGGATCCATAATTGGCCAGACTCAACGGCCTACAGCACTGTTTTTCAAACTTGATGAATATGGACTTCAACTCCTAGAATTCCCCAGCTAGCATGCTGGTGTTTGAAATTTACTGGTCTAAACACCAGCATTTAATTTATTTGTCCATGTGCATACCTAATCAAGGGAATACCATGGAGAAAACCACACACCCTAACAACAATGGCAGGGCAAACCCCACATTCAGATGATGTTACCTACCGTATTTTTGGAGTATAAGACGCACCAGAGTATAAGACACACCAAGGTTTTGAAGAGGCAATTTTTTTAAAAAAGTAGGTAGGTAGGTAGAAGGATAGAGAGGGAGAGAAAGAGAGAGAAATACAGTAGGTAGGTAGGGAGAGAGAGTAGGTAGGTAGGTAGGTAGGTAGGTAGTAGATAAAGTAATAGAGATAGAGAAATACAGTAGATAGGTAGGGAGAGAGAGAAAAAGTAGGTAGGTTGGTAGGTAGAGGGATAGAGAGAGAGAAATAGAGAGAAATACAGTAGATAGGTAGGGAGAGAGGTAGATACGTAGGTAGATAGAGGGGGGAGAGAGAAATATAGTAGATACGTAGGGAGAGGGAGAGAGAGAGAGAGTAGATAGGTAGGTAGATGTTATCCATGTGCTGGAGAAGGAAATTGCTGACAATCTGCAGGACCTAAGACTTTCTTTCTGCTGGAACAGGACTTGATCAATGTAATTCTCATCAATCAGTTAAAGTGCTTTCCAAAAGGGAAAAAAAAAGTTTTTGCACTCTGCAAACCTCCCCAAAACGTCCATTTTTTTGCGAAAACGAGCCCGGATTTTTCTTTTAAAAAAGGCATGAATAGCCTTGGGAGGGCTTGCAGAGTGCTCTTGGGGGGGTGGGGGGCCAAAAACGAGCAAAAGCAGCCCATTTTTTGTGAAAACGGGCCTGTTTTTTGTCAAAAAAAATGCATGCATAGCCTTATGGAGGCTTGTAGAGTGCTTCTGGGGACTGGGGAGCAAAAAACGGCCCATTTTTCATAAAATCTGGTTCTTTTTTAATCAAAAAAGGGCATGCATAGCCTTTAGGAGGCTTGTAGAGTCCTCGGGGGTGGGGAGCAAAAAACGGCCCATTTTTCATAAAATCTGGTTCTTTTTTAATCAAAAAAGGGCATGCATAGCCTTTAGGAGGCTTGTAGAGTCCTCGGGGGTGGGGAGCAAAAAACGGCCCGTTTTTGCTCATTTCTGCCCTCCCCAGCCCCCAGGAGCTCTCTGAAAGCCTCCTTAAGGGTATGCACGGCTATTTTTGTGAAGGGGCGGGGCTTCAGGAGGCAAAAAATGCTGCATTCGATGTATTAGATGCACCCAGATTTTCAACCTCTTTTTTGAGGGAAAAAAAAGGTGCGTCTTATACTCCAAAAATATGGTAATTGGTCTGCAAGCAAACACCCAGACAGCAGCAAGCACAATTCATCCCTGAGATACATGTATTTTCTTCTACTGCAGAAATAAGCTTAGATGTTGGTATACACATTGTACAGAATTTCACTATCTTCCGTGTATCTCTGTTTTATCTTTGAATCAATTACTGTATGACCATTGGCATTCTTTAGTTTAGAATACCATTGCATAACTGAAAATTCCTTCTGAATTTTAAAATATTTTAAAATATCCATATCTGTTACCATTTTCACCTCTTTATAGGTGTACTGATTCAGTTCCTTATACCTTTTAACAGTTGAAAGTCTTTTGAGTTTTGTCCTGAGATTTTTGTTTATGCAAAAATTCTTGACTTTGCTTCTCTTTATTTCTTAGCAATTATCACCATCTATTCTGGCATCCAGTTTGCTTTTTTCTGTTTGTTGATCTTTAGTATCCGTGTTTTCCTGAAAATAAGACTCGGTCTTATATTATTATTTTCTGCTACAAAAGACATATTAGGGATTGGTCCCCTGTTTATTTCTTAAACAGAAATAAAGGTGGCGCAGTGGTTAAATGCAGCACTGCAGGCTACTGCTAGATCAGCAGGTCAGCGGTTCAAATCTCACCGGCTCAGGGTTGACTCAGCCTTCCATCCTTCCGAGGTGGGTAAAATGAGAACCCAGATTGTTGGGGGCAATATGCTGACTCTCTGTAAACCGCTTAGAGAGGCCTGAAAGGCCTATGAAGCGGTATATAAGTCTACTGCTATTATTTCTAATATAAGTCTACTGCTATTATTTCTAATCCATATAGTTCAACAAGATTTTTCTCATTATTTCCAACACCTGCATTCCAGTGCCTCTTGCTTTCATGTTCTGTTGATTTCAGCTTGAACTTAACCATTTAACCATACAAGTAGTCAATATCGTCTTTTTCTGCATCAGTAGTTAGGGCAAAAACTTGAATAACTATCATATTAGAGATGTGGGCAAAATGTATATTATTACTATTATTACATACACAACAATGTGAAATCACAGCTGTCAGTTCTTTAGCTAGTGGTGGCATTTACATGTGAGTTCTCCCCAAGAACCTAAAATATTGTAATGTATCAGCATAGTATATGTGCAGATCCAAGCAGTATGGTCTTTTGTAATTGACAAATGGAAGTTTTGTCAATGCATAGATTTTCTCAGTGCTGTCCATGATGTTTTGATATGGCCCCAATTTGCCAATAACCCCTGCAACCACTGCTACTAGTTTATGCCATAATCTTTTAACTTCAATTTTCAGGTCTTGATACTTTATGATTTCTTCCAGTTCTGCTATTCTATTATCCCCTGATATTGCCACATCAGTTATCCACACTTTTGTCTTTCCAACCATAGTTAAATCTGGCTGTAATGTGCCCAGACTTTATCAGTTTTCTATTTGGAAATCGCACAACATTTTAACCTGCTTATTTTTACTACTTTTTCACCTATATCATCATCTTTTAAAGATCCAATAATCTCCTGCGAGGTGCTCCTTCTGGGCAACTGAATGGAACTGGCCGGATGCCCTTTCTGTTGCCAATGCGGAGTTATATTCATCGTGCTCAGAGAGCAAAATATCTGTGTCTACCTAGGATCAAACTCACAGCCTCCTGATTGTGAGGCAAGAGCTCCACCTCTAGGCCACTGCACCACTCACTTTTTCACCTGTATGTTCCTATCCATTTTCTGTCATTGGCTTTTGATAATTTTACAGATGTTTCAGTGAATAGCTTTAGCATATCTGTGTTAGGAGGCTGTTTATAATATGTTGTGTGATCTTCTGGCACAAGCTGAGTATATGATTTACGGTTTCTTCTGGTTCTTTGGACAATCTGCATGGTTTTTCAATTATGGCCTAGCTTACATTAGTTCAAATAGCTTCCTCTTCAGCAGCCAAATTCAAGTCTTTAGTTTCTTTTGTAATGTTGTAAACTTTTGCCCGGTTTTATCTTTATCCACTTTCCGCTCAATCTTTTGTAGAAATTGACTATGTAATGCTTTCCTGTGCCAATATTCTATTCATGTTTTATTACATTATTTCAATATTCATGTTTTGTTTCTTGTGCATTCGGTAAATTTCAATTTTTAACTTGCATCAATGATAGTTCTTGGCTGTTTTTTACATAATCAGCCAATGCATGATTTTCTTCTTTAACAATATTTTTATTTGAAGTATATCTCTGCCTCCATTTTTGCAGGACAAATATAATCTATTATAATCTATATCATTCTGAGGATGTAATGCAAAGCAAATAGTCATCGGTTTTCTTGTTTTTCAATCCAAACAGTCCAGTTTACCTAGCGTCCAGTTAATAATTCCAGCACCATATCATAACACAGGTATGGCCAGGTATTGAAGGCTTTGATATTGTTTCTACCTTTCAATTTTGTTTTTAGCAATTTTCTCACTGTTTCTGTTTATTCTTTACTAATTCCACTTTCAACTTGCCCATGCTTGATGATAGTTAACTGTAAAATGCCCTGATCCTTGTAGGTTTTAATCCTGATGAGTACTGATCGTTTAACCATTCAGCATTTCCATTCCATTACTATTCACAATTTTACTTTGATTTATTGCTACTGTGGCTGTAGCAATAAATACATTGCTACTGTAGTAGTAGCTACTCTGGGCCAAATTTAATTGCTATATATGTGCTAAAAATTATTAAACCATTTGTTAATGATTCTCCATA